GCCCTTGCTACCAAGGTAGTAGCTTCTATGACAAGTCCCTTTAAGGAAGCCACTACTTGTTGCTTTTCCTCTTTAGTTGCCATGGCATATACTTTTTTCAAAGGAGGAAGTGGATCGTGTTCAAAATTTGAGATTGAATGGTTGAGAAATTGTCATTTATTGCCATCAAAAATTGGTGTATTTTCTTTGATTCCCAAGACTTCATGTATTCCTTTGCTACTCCACATGTGCAGCCACAAGTACATATTGTTGTTGGTTCATAGGCTTGTAACTCGTCCCAAAGTGGTTTCAATTTGGTGAAATATGCAACCACCATCTTGGTTTGTTGTGTGAGTGTGGCCAATTCAATTTATGCACCTGCAAGGCATTGCCTTAAGAAAAATGCTCTTTTAGATTACTCTAGACTTCATCTGCCTCTTTTACATATGCAACACTATCACAGAGATCCTTGGAGATAGTATTCAAGATCTAAGAAAGAACCATGGAATTGCACTTCTTCCATGTTAGATAGTCTAGTGAATTGACAATTGATTTCCCGAGAGTGCCATCTACAAATCCCATCTTGTTCTTTCCATAGAGAGCATTTTGCGTTGCTCTTTTCTAGATGTGATAATTTTCTCCATTCAATGGGTTTGCCATCAAAACTCTTCCAAGATCATCGCTTGGATGAAGATAGTATGGTGAGTTTGGGTTGCTTGTTTTAGTGGTTGTTTTTGCTCCCCCTGATTTCATAGATCTAACTTCAGATGTTTGATCTCTTTCGCTCATTTTGCTAATTGTGTGTAGCAAAAAAAACTTGCTATCAATGCTACATTATGTAGCAAGAGCTTGCTGTCAGTGATTTTCCTGCTCTAATACCATGTAAAATTAGTGAGAAAAGAAAAACTATGTGGAAGGGCATAATCCCATTATGCACTATAAATCTCATACATATACAGATCTGTAAAGTTGATTGCGCTTAGACTATTGCTAACATAACAGTAAATATAATGAAGGAAAGTTAGTATAGAGTGAAATCATCATTAGTGGAACTTCTATATCAATGGACATTGTTTCCATAACCAAGTCCTTAATTGTCTCTACAGCATTCTCATGTGTATCTCCTATGAGATGTCACAATCATGTCCGATATTAGTATTTTTTATTCATTAAAATTTTTCCTAAGGTGCATTTTAGGCGTTTATATCTTTAATAAATAAGTTGGAGGAAAAGAAAAAAAAAACCCAAAAAAGAAATTAGGTTTCAAGTGAAGATTTAGTAGTTTCACCTAAGTAAATCAATAAAATTGAATTTAAATGTGTTAATAAGCTAAATAACTCAGTAGTAATCTCTGTTGGCGTGCCAAAATAAATGGAGTCACTATCTATCCAAATGAGGTGGGATAGATCACCAAAATTCACGTGGAGATTGACCAGAATTAGAAGGTTGATTAAGTGTAAGGAAGGCGTTAGGCACCTCACAACTTCCATATAAATATGATTACCACATTAATTCTGGGGTATTTTCAATTTGTATTAAAAAAAAATACCAAAATAAACAAGAAATTGGTTTCACTTTGAGCTAAATGAAAAGGGAATTAATCATCATAATAGAAAAGCCAGGATAATTATTTCTTTGAATGTACCCGCATCAAGAGCCTAGCGTGCAAAAAGTGAAATTAAGGGGCAAAAGGGATTTTATCATTGAGCTTATACATCCTTTCTTTCTATTTAACCAAGCCCTAGACCATGATACAAGCTTATTCAAAGCCTTTATCAGAGAATCTAAAAGCCATTGAGTCTAAGTGTGACATTTCTTAAAAAAAAAAAAAAGAACGGAAAAGAAAGAAGGAAGATGACGAGAAACAAATGTGGCAAACAAGTTGAGATTCTATTGGTAGAAAATTTTCATTGCTCTAGCCAAAATTCTAATTTTTGAAATCTCAAAATTCCATTAATTGTTAATCCTTAAAGCATTTTCACTATTGTTATTGATGCACCAAATACGCACTACTTTTAGGTAAGTGAACCTAATCAATTATGCAGTATAAGATGAGTAAGATATCATTCCCTCGAGGACTATCCTACACTACCAAGACACTATTAATCTAATCTAAGTTGAATTAACCAATTAATGGAGAAATCTAAACTATTTAAAAGAAAATTAAGTAGACAAAGGAAATTAAACTAAAGAATTTTCTAAATTAAAGAAACTATGAATGAGGAACTAGGGTTTGGATTTCATTTAATTCTAAATTATGCAACTATTTTATTAATTTAATTCAAGTTCAAATAATAAGGTTATTGCATGAAATGACGGATTTTCCTAAATTAATTAACCAGCTTTCTCAAGTCAAGCTAATCCTTCATTTGTTTGCTAAATTAATCATATCTCTATGTAATTTTAAACAAACTAATGAGCATTAAATTCTATAGAAACCTCTAGCTTAAAAAAGGGAGCTACTAACTCTCTTCTCTTCCTCCACTACCACATGTGAGCTAATTACCTTTCGGTCTCATAGTCTAGCACACGATTTATATTATTATTGATCTAATCTACGCAATTCTTTCTCAAATTTATGCATAAATCACTAAATCAATTGAAAGGTGATCAGGCTCTCAATGCATTAAACTCAATAATATAAACTCATCATGCAAATAACCAATAAATCTTGAATTAAACTAACAAAAACAGTCACATATTTCAAAAATTAAAATCCATCCATCCCTAATTTAGCTATGCATGATTATGTTGTCAACAACAGCCATAATTTGGTAATTCCAGCACACAATCATGATAAAAAAATTCAAATTAAGAATCAAAAACTCTCGTCCAATGAAGAACAAGCCAAACTTGTGCTGCTATCCCTCACTAACAAAGCTGGTTGAGAAGAACAGAGGCTGTCGGCGGCGTTGGCTCTTTCACGAACAGATCTGGGTGGGCGTTCTCCCTTCTGCTGGTGAACAGATTTTCGGCTTCTTCTCCTTGTTCAAATGTGAACTGATTGGGTATTGCGTGTTGGTGTCCTCTTCTTCTGCTGGTGAACAACAGATGCGGGTGGCTGGGATTTCGGGCGGCTGGGTGCTCTTGACCTCTTGCGCAGAACAACTTCCTCTCTTTTGTCTCTCGGGGCTGCTCTCATATATATCTTCAGAAATTAGAAACCCCTTAGCCCTAGCAGACATGGGAATTAGGCTTTGTTTTGGGCCTGGACTGTAGTTGGCCCACACCTAGAAAACATAGCCCAATTCTCTTTATTTCTGCACTCTGTCCATTGTCAAAAC